CACACGTTGATTAAACTAAAAGGTTACATGTTTTGATAAATATATTGGCAGATGTATTTCTTGTCGAAAACGTTAGCGGAAAAAGCAGCATGGGATTACGCGAAGGAACAAGGAATCGATTTCATCAGTATTATTCCAACATTAGTGATCGGTCCATTCATCACAACATCTATGCCTCCTAGCCTCATCACCGCGCTCTCTCCTATCACTCGTGCGTACACTTTCTAGTCCTTTTTTCAACTTCTCTTGTTGGAATGTAAAGTGTGAGTTAAAATCGGTGAAAATGTTTTAGGGAACGAGGCACATTACTCGATCATAAGACAAGGACAGTATGTGCATTTGGACGACTTATGCAATGCTCATATATTCTTGTACGAACAAGCTCTTGCCAAGGGACGTTATGTTTGTTCGTCTCATGATGCAACAATTCTCGCTATCTCCAAATTTTTTAGGAAAAAGTACCCGGAATATAACGTTCCTTCAACGTAAGTAATATCGATTCGAATACTGGGTTATATTAAGCTTGTTTTGCTTATGCAATCAAAGCTTTGTTTGGAACAGTTTTGAAGGTGTGGATGAGAATCTAAAGGGCATTGTGTTCAGTTCGAAGAAGCTGACTGATATGGGGTTTAGCTTCAAGTATACTCTTGAGGAGATGTTGGTTGAATCTATTGAGACATGTCGCGAGAAGGGCTTTCTTCCGGTTTCTTTACCATCTGATGAGAACAAATTTGCGACTAGTGAGGACATTGTTGAGCTCAAGACCGGAGCTGGATTAACTGATGGTATGATGCTTTGTAAGAAGACAGAACCGGGAGTAGCCGGAGAGAAAACCGATACTTGCTTGCCTGCACAGCAAATGTGTGCTTAGAAATTGAACCGTTTTATCTATCAATGTCGTATCCTTTTTAGTATTATTGGAGGTGTGCTTTGGGTTTCATTTTGTTTTCTTAATCATAAAAAATAATTATTGGAGAGTTGTATGGACAGGTTTTATGGTATCTAATACTAGTTATCATGTGTGAAACTACAACAAACGGTTTTACTTAAATTACATTAAAAATATTCGATAAATTTGTCTCCAGCAATTTGCATATTTAGCATTGAGTTCAACGTTCATTGTATAGCATTTAAACTAGTACCGATTGTTTGTACAGACGACAGTAGAAACAAAATGGATGGTTCAACATGCAACATGTTTATAAAATTA